TTGTCCTCCTCCGTATTCCAGGGCAGGTACTCGGAAGGCAGCTCCTTTCTTGCGTCAAGTCATGGCACTCGCCAAGGCCGGGGGGTTGAGAATGTGCGCCGTACCAGAAGATATGATAGTACAAACATCAATCAACCATAGATACGATAGAGAAAGATGATAGGATATGATGCTACACCTGACTCCAATCTTGGCTGCTTTGCGGTAGCCATCTCAAAAAGCACCTCTTGGCTTTAGACAGAGTGGGGTCTTCCTAAACTCCAAGGGTTCATCATCATTTTCTATATTGAAATTGCCACAACAGTTGGGGACCCCCATATTTTGGGACAAATCCGAGTGATTCCAATCATCGTAAACCAAAAAAAAAAACAGCTACACCTCAAAAAAAAACGCAATAAACCTGACGTCGACCCCAATTCAACCTCAACTCAACCCATGAAAACAGTTGAAAACCCAATGGCTCAGAAGGCACTCAGAACTCAGAACGGCGTTTGGCAAACCTCCCGCTCTCCTTGATGATGTTGGCGGAGATGACCAGGGCACCGCCTTGGAAAATACCGGTGCTTTCCAATGGGAGATCCCCGATTTTCATCATGGGTTTCAATACCGAAGTCCTGGTCCCATGGTCTATAAAATTCTAATGGCTTGGATGACTTGGGGTACCTCTATTTCTGGAAACTTCCAAATGAAAACCATTGACTGATGGCATCTTTTTTCTGCAGCAACGGACTTCGACTGGTGCGGTGAAACAGGGCACTCAGAAGCGCAACTTCTTACGCATGTAAAGGACATCCTTGGAAGGGCGGCCGGACTTGTCATGGGGAGGATTCTGGAACTTCTCCTGGAAAAGGCTCTTGGCAAACTTCCTGGCCTCCTTGCGGCCGTCCAAGGTCTCCATCTGCTGATCCGTGCAGATGCTGCCCGGGGACATCTCATTGGGCACCTGGTACCTCGTCGGCATCATGTGATTGTAGTTCACGTACTTCACAAAGGGCTTCACCTTGGTACGCTTGGTGATCTTTTTCTTGGACATTTTCCGGGTGACCTTCAATGGAGCTCGGTCGATGCCGGCCACCATGCAGTGCCCGAAGGGCCGGGCCTTGGAGCCATCGTCGTAGGTCTTCACCACTATGGCCTTCTTGCCCGCATAGCGTCCCTGGAGCATGACGACCACGCGTCCTGCTTTGATAAACTTGCCCATCTTCACCGCAGCCCAGCCAAAGTGTTCACTACACTTCCGCAAACCCTTGAGCCCAAACCATGGACTGATGATGATCTGAGATGATGGGATGATTGGATGAACACTCGCTGACAAGCAACAAAGCATCACATCCCCATCGCTGAAGAATAAAAATCGAACACGTGTTCCATCATTTTCCCAGCCCATTCCGTTGCGAAGTCCCCCATCCCAACCCTTCCAAGCCTTCCAAGCCTCCAGGCTCCCCATCCCCATCCCCATCCACTGTGCAGGAAATGTGTGTGTCTCGGCCTTTGGTGATGCGCGGCATTTTCGCGCGAAAACGCGAAAACGCGAAAACGGGCAGCACAATGCGAAAACGCGAAAACGCGAAAACCCGCGAAAACGCGAAAACGGGCAGCAAAACGCGAAAACGCGAAAACCGCGAAAACCGCGAAAACGCGAAAACGCGCACGGAAGTACAAGAGCGCGAAAGTTGGACAGCTATGATCATCTCCGGATCTAGCGGCACGTCAATGCAAAATAATTATATTGCGCTGCAATAGCGGTGTTGATCTGTGTTGCACTGGGACTTCAAGTACAGAGTAGCGGAATGCAGGTTCATGTGATGTGAATGTTTTTTACGGTATCTATAGATCTATATTTCATTCTAGCCCTACCTACCTACCTAGCTAGCTAGCTAGCTACCTACCTACGTATCCATCCATCCATCCATCCATCCGTCCGTCCGTCCATCCAATCTATCTAATCTATCTAATTTATCTATCTATTGTAATCTATCTATCTAGTCCATCTGTTTTATCTAATCTATCCGATCTATCATATCCATCCATCCATCCATCCATCTATCTATCTATGTAAGCTATGTACCTAAGCTATGTATCTAAGCTATGTATCTCAGCTATGTATCTAAGCTATGTATCTAAGCTACGTATCTATGTATTGATGTATCTATGTATCTGTGTATCCATGCATCTATCCCACTCTCTCTCTCTCTCCCTCTCTTTCTCGTCATCTCTCTGTTTATCTATCGATCAATCTACCAAGCCGTCTATCTATCTGCCCGTCCATCTGTATATCACCTATCTTCGCCTTATCTATCTGCCTACCTACCTACGTACCTCTCTATCTCTCTATATCTCTATCTCTCTATCTCTCTATCTATCTGTCTATCTATCTATCTATCTATCCATCTATCTATCTATCTATCTATCTGTCTATTTCTGTATTTCCTCTATCGCTTGTCTAATCCTTCCCAACCTTTAATGTTCTGTCATCCAATCTACCTGTATTTAGTGTTCTTGTTATGCATCCGTGTTTTAATCAAAATTTGACGGACATATTTATGCATATTTATGTAGTCTGCATTTATGTTCTCATCTATGCTGGCATCTTTGTTTGTTTGTATGTATTTATTGAGGTGGTGCATTGCAATGCAAGCAAAAGGAAAAGTGGCAACATAATGAAACTTAACGGACTGCCTTTATGCCTGCAGGCACGTGTGCATGCATGTTTCGGACGTATGTATGCATGCATGTGTGTCTCTTTGCATCGATCTTTGTATCTATTTATGTAGCTGGCGCAGCGCGTTGTAACATGATGCATGTGATGTAATGCCTTGTAATTTCAACTCAACCAATATATAATATATTACATATATATATATTACATAATTATACATAGTATACATAAATATATATTATACAAATATTTATATTATACATACATATATACATATTACATATATATATATATGGTTTACATATATATATATTTATATTATACACATATATATATATATATACATATATCTATTATACATATATTTATATTATACTAATATATATATTTATTTATACATATTACACACATATATTTATATGTATATATGGTTTACATATATATATATATGTATATATACATATGTTATATATATATATGTATATCATATATATATACATATATCATATATATTTATATTATACATATATATATATTACATATATATATTACATATATATATATATATTATACATTTATATACATGTATATATATATAATACATATATATATATATACGATGTACATTCATTTACGGGGATACACATTTATGCATGTAATGCAACATATATGTGAGTGTGTTTGGATGCATGGATGAGTGTGTATAATGTGAAATCCAGCATTGCGGTGTCGTGTGGCGTCACGTAACACAAAATGTAATGCCGCACAACGAAGTGGGATGCATCTTTGTATGTATCTTTGTATGTGTACAGCTATGTATGTCTCTATGTAACTATGTATGTCTCTATGTATGTCTCTTTGTATGTCTCTATGTATGTCTCTATGTATATCTCTATATATGTCTCTATGTATCTATGTATGTCTCTATGTATCTATGAATGTCTCTATGTGTGAACATTATGGAATGCCTTGCCATGAATCGGACGGTGAACACAACGAAAACATGCATGTACCGATGTATGTACGATTCTCACATGATCTACGTATATGAAATGCAGCGTAACATCATAGCATGTTGTGCATTTATGCGTCTATGAATCTCGGTATCTTTGGCGTGTGTGTGTGTGTAAGGATGTTTGCCATACATGTGTGCATATGCATCTATGCTAGAATCAGTGTATTTATGTATACATTCATATTTCTATGTATGTACCTATATGTGTGCGTTCCTGTTAGTACCCTTGGAATTACATCATTGCAATGCAGCGTAGTGTAACGCAATGGATTGTAATGCAGTGAAATATACTGTAGTGCAATGTAATGTAGTAGAATGTAGTTTGATGCAATGCAATGCAGGTAATCTAAGGTAAGGGCAGGAAACGAAATTAACATAATGTACTGCGTGTTTGTCCGTATGTGTTGTGTTGTAAAGTAACGTGGCGTAGCGTATTGTCTGTTTTGTATTGTGTTGTATTGTGCTGTACTCCTTTGTATTGTATTGCATGGGAGTGTCCTGTGATGTGTTCGAAATATGTTTTTGTATCTATCTTTCTGCCTATGTATGCACTTTTGTATCTGTGTATCATTTTGTATCTATGTATCTATGTGTTGATGTATGAGCAGATGGAGGGGTTGGTGTGTGCACAAAAATGCAAGTACATGAACATGTAAGTGTAGTACGCATATTATGTGTATATATATAATTATATATATATTATTGTAAACGTAAAGGTAAGAGACATGTAATGTAAGTGTGTGTGTGTGTGCTTGCAAGTCTGCAAATGGCTGTTATGACAAGGAAACCGGCACTTCTCTATTTAGATTTCTGTTTGAAAATAGTATGGCATGGAAATATCAAAGGCGGAAATGCGAAAACAACAAGAACGGCGCAAGCAGCCAAAAAACAAAAACTGCGAAAACTGCGAAAACTGCGAAAACCGCGAAACACGAAAACCACGAAAATCGCGAAAACTGCGAGAACAGCGAAAACCGCGAAACTCGCGAAAACCGCGAAAACTGCGAAAACCGCGAAACACGAAAACTACGAAAACCGCGAAACACGCAAAAACCACGAAAACTGCGAGAGCATTGAAAGCCGCGAAAACGCGAAAACCGCGAAAACGCGAAAACCGCGAAAACGCGAAAACCGCGAAAACCGCGAGAACAGGAAAACGCCGAGGAGACTAGCACTATTGGCCGCATTTCTCGGTTTTCTCCTTTTCTCGGTTTTCTCGGTTTTCTGGTTTTCTCGGTTTTCTCGGTTTTCTCGGTTTTCTCGGTTTTCTGGTTTTCTCGTTTCCTTGCATCTCATCGTCTTAGGCACGTCGCGTGGATTTCTTGCTTAGCCCATCCATCCCCCATGGCCCCCATCCATCCCCCATGGCTCAGCTTCCGGGCCGACAGCATCAACCGAGGAGAAGGGTTCGTTGATGAGCCAAACCGCGAAGATTGCGGCCCAGAGGGGCTCGGTGGTGAAGATCACCTCGGTTGGTTTTTACAGAGGATGCCTTTGATCAATGGATTGGTTTAAGGGAATTTTTAACTGGAAAGCCCCATATTTCATGGGAAAATCGATGGTTTCCGGTTAAGATTTTCCCTTAAACCAATCCATTGAGTTGAAGCATGGACGGAAAGCTATGGTCTGATGTTTGACTTAAAGAAACTGAGCATGCTGAAGCTGCTGAACCTGGTTGTTGTTGAGAATGTTGAGATAGATTGGACATCTCTGTTGTACCCAACATACCGTATACCGAAAAACACCTCCCCCAACCCTCCGCAAAAGCACCGAAGCAGAGGCTGCATCCACGAAGCGAAAGGCCACAGACTCCACCAACAAGGCCTCCGTTGGAGGTTTCCATAGTCATGGAGGATCCCTCCAATAGCTGGTTGCTTTATGTCATGGGAAAATAAAAAAAAATGGATGAGAAACCTCCACTGAACTTCGATGGTTCAATCAGAGATGTAACTGAAATGGTGGATTTAACCATCAAGAACAGGGATTCTACGAGATTTCAACAGGGATATGGGATGTTTTTATGGGATATGTTTCAGTAACTATATCAGATTTGGGTCTGACAATGGGTTGGTTGTTTTCTGGGCTTGGTGGTTTGGATTCTCGGGAACCCTCTGGAAATTGAGCAGCCTGTTATGAAGGCCGTGGCCCACTTAGGTAGACAGTCGGTAGACATGAAGATTCCCTGTATCAAAGACATATGATAAAAACAATAATAGTAGTAATTGAGTGAGAGATCATTTACAATAGATATTCAAAAATGGATGTTTCTCACTGTTACATACTCCAAAATGGGTGACCCCAAGATCATGAAATGTGTGACATGTTGGGGAAGCAAATGGTGAAAATGAAGTCCCCATTGTAAACAGAATCACTGTTTTTTGTGATAAAGGAGCATCGGTATATCACCCAAGATCGCATGATTAGCAATGTCAACCCTGGATTGGTGAGCCAAAAAAGACAGTTTTCAAAAAAAAATGTTGAACTTGTTACCCCTCCATGGACAGTTTAGCAAAATCCTGGGTTCACATTACCCACCCAACGGTGTGAGAAAAATCCAATTTTATCCCACTATCAACACCCACCAATCCCTTCACCCCAATATTAAACACCCAGAAACCTTGCTTTAGTAGAGGGATTTACACATTGCATTTAGGCTATGTTTCATATTGGCGGGATGGGATCATAAAAAATCTGTATAGACTCTCTGGTTTTCTCAGCGTCCATGGCGTGCTGGAAGTTCTCCCGCCAGCTATAGTTCGATGGTTGTCCCATTGTCCCATTTGCTGGCAAACGAACAGTTCCATGTGGAGCCCACCATTTGAGGAATCATGTTCCAAACGGGATACCATGGGTTTTTCCACATCTTTTTGTATGTTTACCCCACATTACCCATTTTGGTGTCCACTTCTGCGGCTTTCTGCGGCCAAACTCGTCTGCCAAAGGACCAGTGCTGTGGTCACCAGTCCGGTGTAGAGGACTCCCGTCCTGAGAGCAGCAATGTTGGTGGGATATACCAATGAACAGGGCTAAAAAGCATGATTCATAGATATACTATCAATAAATTAATTTGAAATCAAATGGAAAATATATAGCAGAATGATTAGAGGAAAATTGATTCTTATACTAGTGATAGTGATAATGATAATGATAATGATACTAATGATGTTATATGTCCTAGAAATATGTACTCCGGCGCTCCAAGGTACAGCGCCACGCTGTTGGAGAGCACGGGTTCCAGGTCCACCGTCCCGGCGGTCACCGCGAAGTAGGCCCAGCTGGCTAAAGCCACCATGGTCAGCTTCACTGCCTGAGTCATGGGGATCCCCGCAGCTGGGTGGTGAATATTTTGGGAACCGAAAATTTCATGGATGAGAACTGGGGGTACCCCAAAAAAAGAGGAAACGTCCATTCAAACAGTGGGTTTTTTGAGATCCAAAATGTGATTGTTTTTTCTGTATAATCCCAGTTGATTCTTAGAGTGAAATGAATGAGTGTATAATCGACCCCATCACCCGTTCATAATAAACATCCCCCAGTCGATTCCATGGTGGTTGGGGATGAATTTCACATTTGGAACCATACAATGGGGATGTGTTTTCACATTAGGGCCTTTTTTGGGGGGCAGCGCGACGAAAGATTTCAAGAAGGGGGTGCATCCCAGGACATGTGGGTGCTAAATGACAACAATACCAGCAATAAGCCACTCATATGAGGATTTTTGATGCCCGGAGGGACATCCTGGACTTGTCGCCCTCTTTTGGACCCCCAGTAACTGGGGCTTCCGAGAGGTTGGTTCAAGAACTAAAGAGCTGGCTGATTTCTGGGTGTAAAAATGATTCATAGAGGTGGGTGGGTTTCGAGAAAACATACTAGATATATCTATTCTGAGGGATGAGCTGGGGATTGTTTTTAAGAACTGGGGAACTAGCCTGCCAGTAGCTGGTTTATGCTAATGGATGGGGAGAACCGTTTGAAGATCATTGGAAGCGACTAACAAAATGAGGGAACCGAAACATGGGACGTTTGTTAGGGTTAAGGTTGCTTGAAGCATGTTGAAGCTATGTATATACATGCATAGACCACAAGGTTTGGAGGGAAAACTGCCCAGGCACTGTGACTGGCAAAGCATCCTTGGGGGATTCGGCCATGATCTCTTCAAGTCGGATGTATCCTCGGCCCAGGGTGGCTCCCAGGTGCGCATGGACACTCTGTGACAAACTCTTCATCACTGGGTCCCCCAGCCCATGCCGAAGCCAATGGGCTGCGCTAGGGAGATCAGATCACCTGCGGCTGTGAAGCCTGGGCTAAACAGCTAAAGTTAGCTAAAGAGTCGATTTTGATCCTATCTTTTGTTCAACTTAGCCTTCCAATACCAAACAAAATGGGCTGAAACCCACCACTTTCTGACATTTCTGAGGGCCCATGAATGGAAAATAAGAAGTTGCAGCCCCCAACACCGGGGCGGCCTATCACAAACTGCTGGGATCCCGCCAACTCCAAGAAGCCAACGCCAGCCACTGCCAGCACCGCTGCTGCCAGGGTTTGTGGGTCGAACTTGCGCTTGGTGATCTTGGCGGAACCGCGGTTGGGGAATCTTGGTTTCATGTGGTTTCACAACTCGTAGATGTGGTCTATATATATATATATATATCATCTAAATGGTACCTTCTGATAGTTGGATATCCCATCTCTACATGGTACTTTCTGATAGTTGGATATCCCATCTCTACATGGTACTTACTGATAGTTGGTTGGAAACCCCCTGCGGCATCGCCAAGCTGTACCCCTAGCAGACTGGATTTCTCACCTGGTCACCTGCCAGGCCCCATTAAATGCATCCAAGCAGCCCCAACAATCATCGCCACAAAGACCACGTTCAACGAGCCTCGCGTAATGTTGTTTGATGGATTTTCAAAGAGCTTTTTTGCCCATCTTGGGAACCTGGGAATCCACCAAAAAAAAAAGCTAGGCATTTCTGCTCAAACTTCAATTTGCGCAGTGTTGATGCCAACATCTGTTTGCATTTCGTCTTGGCCAACTCAAGATGACCAAAAGTGGGCGTGGAACAACCAACAAAAAATGGGTAGCAAAATAGCCACCTGACATTTTTCATCACATCGAATCAAACCATCAGAGGAAAAACTCGAGCCACTTCCAGGACCAAGTGTTCATCTCCCAGTGACAAATAAAGCAGGACTTGGATGCGGTGGTGGTCATCAAGCCAATTGCCTGACGGTGGGCTAAGGCTCCTGGGAACCCCATTTCTTTTCAGCACCACGCCGCATCATTTGGCCAGGGACTGCAGTGATTTTGAGATTTTTTTGGCCCCCAAGCTTTCAACTTTCTGGTGGCCAGTTCATCAGCCAGGGGGCGATGAATGGCCAAAAATCTGGCGGAAACAGCAGCTTAGCTTTTGCAGATCGAAAGAATTGGATCTGGGAGTCTGGGATGGTCAGAAAAACTTGTCAAACAGAAGAGAGGCTAAAGCATCTGTTGATCCCTTTGATTTGGGAGGTTCCAATCCTATGGCGGCACAGTAGTTCACCTCTGCTATCTACCAACTCTCAGTTCCGGATGTTCCCATGTTGATGTCAAACATCCACCAAGGTTCCCTGTTCCCCATGTATTTGCCTATGAATCTTCCCCATGTTTGATGGTGATGGCAGACCCGACTCATCATCAGTACCTGGGTAACACCGATTTCGCTGCAGTTTTGTCCATACATTCATCTCCGAGATAAACCTCTTCTTCATAGTAAAAACCTCCACATAGTTTGGGGGCTATATAAAGCTACCTTCTGTCAAAGAGAAACCCAAAAAACCCAACTACCGTACCAGTCATCGGGCCCCAGTTGTCATGGCATGGCATCATCCCAGCACTGTGTAGCCGCTGCCGCCCTCGTAGCCCGCGCCTGCCCAATGTAGCCAAAGGCCACCCAGCTGCCACATTCGACAGCTCGCAAAAAGACCTTCTGCGAAGAGATGCTACGGATCCTCGCAGCGTCGCATTGCGTTGCCCCAGAGTTGGAGAGGATTTGTCCTTTTGGGGGATTAATAGATTCTCTTTAGCCAGTTTAAGTGGCATGACTCAAGATTCTCCTTGTACCAAGTGAAATACTCGCCCAAATAAACAATCGACATGGGGATCTTGCTACAAACAATGAGGGCTTTCTCAGCAAAAGGGATGGATGTAACTACAATCAACAAGATTGGAATATGACGAACATGTCGTGGATGGCACCAATAGTCGTAGGGGTGGCATCAGCATCTGCAACTGTAATTCAATCCAAACAAGACATTGGAATAGAACCATCAAAAGCCACTGACAATGTCACCTATGTTGCCTATCCTGACTACTTGACATGGTCCCCCGCTGCATTCCTGAATAACCCCCCCCATCAAGATGCGGGCAAGCTTCCATGGTAGCAGCACCCCCGCAGCAACCGTGAAACGAGACACTGCATACCTCAGCATCCGGAAAAAAACAATGTAACAATATATATATATAATATATATTATATATATAATATATATTATATATATAATATATATAATATGTATATATATATTATATATAATATATATAATATATATATATAATATATATATATATAATATATATAATATATAATATATATAATATATATAATATATATAATATATATAATATATAATATATATATATATAATATATATATATATATATTATATATATTATATATATATATTATATATTATATTATATATATTATATATATTATATTTGTTGGTTCAAGGGAAAGTCTACAGCAAACTGCTGGTTTTGATCTCCAAACATGGAAGTAAATCTACCAAAGCTAAGTTCAAATTCAACTAAGAAAACCTATCAATCGAGAATCTGCTCTTTCAAATGTGAAAATTCTCTGATTCGGCAAACATCCCAGACGTCCCTATGTTCCACCACGCTTGCTGCGAAGCGGCATCTGCGTGCTGACCCCTGGCTGCGCAGTGATGTCCTGAGGGACTTGGAGATTTCTCTGTTTGAACAGGGTGTAAACCTCCAACTCATCGCCATCCGCGAAAATGATGATTTTATGATGACTTCCTCCCCAAATGGATGATGTCATCTCCAATCATGGGTAAAATTTGATGACTTTGACAAGCCGATTTCCATGGATTTCTGGCCAGATTGGCCAGAAGCACCTTGATCACAGCGAAGTTGGTGGCCCAGAGCATGCACAGCACCAGGATGACGCCGCGCCAGAACCAGCTGGGAAGAGTCGAGAGCCTCAGTTCCAGTGTGAAGGGCGGTGCAAGGGATGGTTCTTGGGAGGTTTCAACTCCAAAGTTCCCAGGTGTTTCCAAGGTGTTTCTGATGGTTTTCAATGGTTGTTAATTGCTTTGCAACGTTTTTCATAGTTGTTCATTGTTGTTCAGCCCTTTTTTGAAACGGACGGAACCAAAGATGAGTGGGATGTCACTCATGAACCAACATAGATTTGGGATGTGCTACTGTACCTGGCAATCCCTGCTGGTGGCAAAACTAGGACCTCACTTCACCAAGCCCCCATCGACTTGGGTGGAATGTCCTTTGTTGCTGCGGTTTCAAGGAAGTCTCCCCCAGGTAGGTGTGAAATCGAAACATGAGATAGGTATGGGCCAAAAGTGTCAACCGCGAAATGGATGACGCTAGCAACTGACCCATTCAGCTAGACCTTTGGCACCCCAGTCTTTTAACCCTGCTCACATGGGGTTGCCCAAAACTGGGCTATACCCCCCCAACAAAAATATCGATATTTATTTGGGAGAGATGATGAACCATGAAATTTTGGCCTGAAAACCCTTCATTTTTCAAGTACCAAACCCTCCATGGATAGCTGCGGCGCCAATTATCCAGCTCCGCTGATTCGGTATAGTCCAGCTGTGGCGCGGCCACAGTCTCCCTGGGAAAAGCCGTTGGTTTAGGGGTCTGAATTCTTTGCCATCTGAATATGGATGTTTGGGTTGAACATTAAAACAAAAATTTGGCCACAAATCCCAGGTCTAACAAATAAATGAAATGGACCCATATCTTACCCCACCATGGCTTCAAAGCCAGCCTGTGGAGTCCCACCTGAATTCCTTCCAAATCGTATCTTCCAAAATGGTTGTTGCTCGCAAATGGGTTTGACTGAACATACAATACCCAAAAAACATAACGGATCATAATGGGAGAGTTTGCCAAAAGGTGTCCCTATGACTTTTAGGGGGGGACGTTACCAACACTCCCCCTACCAGCCCACCACCGCCCCCTCAGCCTCTTGTCCTCGCGTCCCACCCTTCCCATTCCACCACTTCCCCCCCTCTCAAGCCACCACCCCCACCCCTCGACCCCAAAGAACCCCTAAAACAACCTTAAAACAACCGTGAATGAACCCTTAACCAACCCTAAATAGAAACGAATCGTAAGTAAAACCCCAAACCAACCCGAAATAATTCTTGCACCAACCCTTAATAAATTATATTAATACACCCTAAACCAAGCATACCCAAGCCCCAAACCAAGCCTACATCAAGAGACGGGTACGACACCACGGTTTAAACTTATAAATCCAAACCACGTTTGGAAACGGTTCAGCAACAAAAAACCACGATTTGGTTTGTTTAGGCAGCACGATATTAACCAAATCTCTCTTGTAATTTTTTTTGGGTTTCATTTGGTTCGTTTGAAGTTAAATTATGTGCATATTAGCGCTTCTAGTTCGGAAAAGTGATTATATTATAAGTCGATGATGTGTCATTCGGAATTTTTTTGGCGTTTTGTTTCTTATCGAAAAGCTTTCTAAGCAATGGGATTTTAATCAGGCTCCAAGAGCACCCAAAAGGCTCCCAGAAGGGGGTTAAGGACGAAAATTTAAGGCCAAGGACGAAATTTTAAGGCTAAGGACGAATTTTTAAGGTTAAGGATGAAACTTTCAGGCTAAGACGAAACTGTAAAGTTAAGAACGAAACTTAAAAGCTAAGGACGAAACTTTAAAGTTAAGAACGAAACTTTAAGGCTAAGAACGAAATTTAATGAGAAGGCAGCTCCAGGGAGCTCCCAGCAGCTCCAGAGGCTCTCAAGCTTGGGCTTCACGTGTTTTTGGTCCAAAAAGTACGCTGTCCGTGGGCGGCACGAACTGGCAAATCACTTGAGCGGGGACCAAAACTAAGGGTCACAAAGGCGGTGGATCATTCGCTTTTTCGAATTACATGGTTTTGGGGCATGTCAAACCATGGGTGTTGATTTGGACATCCATTTCCATTCATCTCTACAGAATTGCAATAGGGGCACTTCATGGGCAGTCTGCTGTCCTCTGTTTGTCTTCAAAGTGCGGAAGGAATTTCCCTCAAAACGGCTTGGCTGTTTGCACTGTTCGTGCCTTCCAATTACTTCTGCAGAGTCTATTCTTCTCTTTTGATTTCTGTGGTCGGATTCACATCCAACCAATACTAAAACAATGCACATGAGGTTACTATACAATACCAAATGGCTGTGCAAAACAACAACACCTTTCAACTTCACCATCAAATCACATTATCGCTTCAAGTAGTTCACCACATTGCTTTCCATGGTTTGGGCAACATTTTCCACCATATGACCTCTCATGTAAAGGTTTCTGCATGAACTTTTTAAGCCTTTGCTCAGACTTGCTGATGAGATCCCGATTCGGGTCACTGTGAGAAACCCTCATCATGATCCTTTGGAAATTGATTTCTAGTCATCAACTTCTCTTGCATCGCCTGGATGGAGTTCTGGATGCTATGAGTGTGAAATCACATTTTAATACCTGTCCTTCAACGCGTCGAAAGGCTTTGGGCTGTTCAGGCGCTGCCTTTTGCAGTCCCCAACGTTCGCGAACTCCATGGTCGATTGGCTGCTGGGTGCCTCTTACGGTAGGAATGTACATGGAAACCCAATCGATAGATTCAGCATTATTATCAGGCCATCGAGACCGGAGGTTATTCCAAAAGCGTGGTAACAAAACCACTGAATGCTGTGAACGGTCGTGGCTGGTTGATGTCCTGTGATTCATTCTGTTCTGCATTAACTTGTTTGCTTGCCGGCATGCCCTGTGCTATCTGAGCAGCACAACAGTAGCAAACGATATCAACCAGATCGATGCAAATCGAAGCAGCGCAACTAGAGAATCTCAGGGGTTCGAAACTGCCGTTTGGCAGCTTTGGTTCTACTAAATTCTACTAGGGCCAACCCTTGCCCGACCTTCTGAAGCCTTGCAAGCTGCTAGGTTCTACTTGCCTCACCTTCTCCAGCCTTCCAAGGTGCCTGGTCATGTATCTATTAGGGGTTTCAGAAACTGCCGTTTGGCAATCCCTTTCTGCCCCTTTGTCGCCCCCCCTCAAACAGGGGGTCGGCGGCACCAGTGTGTTCGCCCTCTTACAAACTTTAAATAAACCCTAAGCAAACCCTAAACCAACCCTGAATATGCCCTCAAGAAGTCATAAATAAACCCTAAACCACCCTTACATAGGCCCTAAATCAACCCTAGATAAGCCCTAAACCAACCCTAAATGAACCTTAGACCAATCCTAAATACAACCTAAACTAACCTTGAGCAACACCAAAATATACCCTTTGCCAAAAAGATGGGGCGGTGACCCAATATGTGGGGGTGGGGAAGGAAAAACTCACCTCTTCGCCTTGCGACAAAGAATTGAGGTGTATGGGAATGATCTATTTCAATTTAGAGGTTGGGCAAGCCTCCTGAAGAAGTCTTGCCTGGAGCCATGCCTGAAACCTCATCCATCAACCAAGCTACACCATGAACGAGCAACAGCCAGTGTAAGCCTGTTCTTTAAAAAAAAAACGCCTCAATCATTGACGAAGCATCATTTTTTGGGTTTTTTAGTCAAGTTCATCCCCTTTTTGCACATGGTAACTCTCTTTTTTCGTCTTCATGTTCAATCACCATCAACCCAGCCCCAGCTCCAACAGAGCATTCCTCACCGAACGGTGGGTACCAATGGACCCACGGACCCAAGGATTGATAATTCGACCCATCCCCACATCTGGCTTTGTGTCAGGAAAAAAAAACGTTGTTGAACATCATGGCTCCCAATAAAAATTGCCAGAAATTATTGTAACTCCTTCATGTTTGGACAAACCCAGTTCATTCCAACCATTCTCACACCAAGTTATCCTCCGGTAAACTCGCTATGTTTTAAGGTCAATGATCTATAAATGGCCCATTTTCCATAGCAAACTCTTAGTTTACGGGAGGACCCCCCAATTCTGCCAGGGGACATGGGGCCATCCCGGGCCACTGTCTCCTGACCCTTGGGCGTGCGAATCGCATTGGGCGCCCCGGGCCGCCCGATAAAGCCCAGGCCTGGACCATCGGGGAGCCAAGGGGATGGTCCGATAAGGAAACCAGTAAACCACTATGGACAATCACCATTTGGATAGGTATATCAATTATAAATGATTGTTTCAATGACCATCCAAATGGTATATCATTTGGATAAGTACCATAGTATATACCATAGTATAAGTGATATACCATTATAGTAAATATCATTATATTAGGTATACCATAGCTATGTCAGACAAGGTTGTGTACAGTAGAGATTCAACCCATGATTTTAAGGATGATCACTTTGGCTACCATCTAATTATCAATGGTTTCAGTGACAAGATCATGGTCGAGGATACACAAGACGTTGAAAAGTTATCTCAATAAACAGAATGATTTTGTTGAAGGGAAAGAAGATTTGCAAGGAACCACCTATATTTCAAGGTAAAGGCCATGAGTTACTTTTATGTTTTCCTTGAACCAGTCATCTAGTCCATTAAAAGGATTGTACACAACATCTGGTGACTAGGCTACATTTTTGAATGGGTCTGCAAAATATGCCGACTGTGAGGATAGGTCAATATTCCATAGTCACCGGAAAATAGTCTTCAGATTCACCGTTCTTGGGGATTTTCCAATGTAATACCTGTTGCACTTGGCTACCAGCAGACAAATTTCAAACTTGAAATCATAACTGTGTCTAGCAAAACCCACTTAGGACTTCGACCCGTTCCCAGGTCGATCACCCACATGTGCTTTCCGGCCCAAATGCGAACGGGCTGTCGAAGACAAAAAAAGACACTGGATGAAACCACCAGTGACCCGTAATCGGCAGAGCACTTGACATCTCCAAAGTCCAGTCAATTCAAATCCCTCATGGAATGGAAAATGTAGATTAATCTCAAAATGCTAGGAATTGACTTTGACCCATCCATTTTTGGGGGGGGAGTCCATAGAGGTCTTTCATCCTGGCCTTCCAAGCTGTCCTTTTTCTCGATGATTTGCCCTCTGGTGTTGATATGGCAATGTCAAATCCCCCATGTATAGACGATGTTCCCATTAAAGCCGGAATTCTATATATGGCTTAATATATATATATAGAACATTATATATATTTGACGATGTTCCCATATCCAGTGTTTCACTTGCCATGTTTGATTTCAAGATATTTCAAGACAGTGCATTTATGCATTTAAACTCTTTGAATCTACCAACCCACCATCCTGGCCTGCATGTAGTGCAAGTGCTGCGCAAAGCAACACCTTGGTGAAAGATGTTGCCGTAATTTTGGTCTTCCATAATCGGCCCATTTCATGACCTGCAAAAGGAAATCCAATACTTCAAGGCCTGGAAACTTTGAGGTTGCTATGGGATTCAAACCTTCATCACCCACGATCTCAGCAGCATCTTAGACCCCTGCGAGGCCAGTTCGACCGCGGCTCTTCTGACTCTTCGCCATGGCGTCAGTACGTGTGATCAGTCCGTGGCGCGTTTTTTTTTTTTGTCAAGCAAAGATGCATCAAATGATGGGTTGAATGATGGGTGGAATGTTGAAATCTCTGGAAGTCATCATGGCGCCAGTGTTCAAAATCTGCAAGATGGAGTCAGCAAAGGTCAAAATGTAGCGAATGAATCTCCTTTCAAGCTCCAGAACTATTGCGCCTCTCTTTTCGCAAATGCTGCCGACATGCAAACCCAGCTGCCGCGAACAATCATGTACCTTTGTCTGAAATTTGGGTATACCCCCCAAATGTCCATCAATATAAACATAAATCGTTTCAATTGAAGGTAGACTGTTTTCAGACAAACCCATTTGGAGCTTGATGGACAAGTAACCATCCTTGCTCCCCGCGACTTGTTGACAACTTGGAGACACATCCACGAAACGAAAAAATACGTCCAAACCACCCACACCGCACAAACGGCCCACGCGGTCGGCTCCAGCAAATCCCCTCCACGACATGGTTCCATAATCAAATAGAAGCACCTTGGAAAGGCTTGCCCGAATGATCCTTACAGATGGGACTTAAGGTGGCTTCTTGGGGCCCTAACCACAACCAAAAAAAAACTCAGATATCTCCAAAAATAGCTTTGGTACCTCAAAACGACACATTACCCCCAAAATGACCATATTTTGATGGGTAAAATAGCGATTCACCCATCAAAATACCTTCAAATTGCTGTAAAATGGGTTTTCCCATGGTTTTCCTCCTAAATCTTCGGACCAACCCGAAATGATTTTCGTCCAGCTGCTGCTCATCCTCGAAATCCTCAAAGATTCGCACCTGATGACCAACTGGTGGCCAGCCACCAAATGTCTGAGTAACTTTAAAACCAGCGAGCAGAAGAAGTATGGTGTTTTCTTTCAGAAAAGAAATATCTTTAAAGAAACAAAAACAAAAAACGAGTTCGGGGTGGCGAATCTTTCATTATAGATATAAGTTATAAGATTCTATAAGAACTCATTTAGGGCAACTTTAGGGTTGATCCTGGGATGCCACCAATGCCACCGATATCCAGTGGGAAGTCTTTGCCGCCCTCCGCAGCCAAGAGACCACATGTGGATGGTCAAGGCGTTTCAGCACCTGCGGATGATTTGGGGGTAAGACGTTTGGGTAAGAAAACTTGTCAAGTGGGAATCGACATTCCTGCATCAAATGTCCCATCAATATGTGTCTTCCTTGAGAATATGTTGGATATCAAGGATGAAAAGGCTATGGTGAAGCAGTTGGATAAGAGGATAAGAGCTAAACTTGGAAGCCCAGCGGGATGCTCCCAAGTTGGGATCCCGGGACCCCAACGGCAAACTCCTCGCGCACACGTTGGTGGGACGTCTTGGCCTGCAGAAAATGGGACCACTTCCGCGACTGATGGATGGCCCTGAAAAAACATGGTAAAACAGGGATGCTAGGACAAGACAGGTTGGAGGTCAGGTGGGAGGCTGTTATGTTTTTGTTCAATGTTGTAAATCTAAATGTTTGACTGTTTCTTTCTATTAATCTTGCTAAATGTTTCGTCGGAGTTGTTTGATTAATGTTTGGTTTGGATGAGGGTAGGGTATGTTGAGGTTGTTGTGGTTTTACTGTATGAGATAGTGTCCATTAATGTTCATTTGATGCTTGATGCTTTCTTCGTGTCGTTTCATTGTATATGTTCTTACTTCACATTTACAAATTGGACATGCCAACGTTTCTTTCTTTTTATCACTTAATTCTTCCTTTTTCCTTTCGTAGTATTGTTGAGCATATTGTTTTAAAGTTTCTTTGTGCTGTTCCCTGTATCTGCGTTTGTTTTCTAAACATTTATTACACTGCTTACATTCATTTTTGTAGTAGTCTAACGGTTGAATTGAAAGACTTTACATTTAGAACACTGCTTTTTGTCAGTCATTATACCTCTACAATTTTAAGGGGTTATGTCTTTAAGGGGGTTTTAGGGTGGATTACATCATAATATATTTTATTAAGATATTATGAACTAATCGTTAGGTTTAGTGTCTCCACTTTTCATCACCACTACCTATTCCATCCCAACATTGAGAAACAATCGTTTTGATGTTGTAGAACACCAAAATGATTGTGTCTCTATCAAGTCCTCGTTGGTCAATCAAGTATCCCAACACTGACAATAGTGTATAATAGTTTTGTTGTAATGCTGTCATTCCTCCTCTATGGTGTATCCTCTCACCGTGTTTTTTGATTAAATCTTTATCAAATATGTTTTCATAAGGTCGTGGTTTATCTCTCCATACTCTGCGTATTGCTCTAAAAAGTCATATTCTATAAAGTTATAATCAGGATAATATTTTTTCTTTAATGAAATTCATTAATTTTTCTCTGTCTCTTTTTAGTTCCTCTTCACTAACTCCAATCATTGGCATTTTTCACTTACTATATATATATATATATAGGTATTTTTTTTCTTTAAGTATCTATCACTTTTTGTAGGTGTTCTTTTATTTCATCTTGATTAATGTAATGCTCATAGTGTTTGAAAAGCTTGAATAGGTCTTTTAATCTGAAATCTATATTTCTAAATTCATAATAACGGTTTAAGCTAGGACCAGGAAACATCCAAGAATTCTTTATTGCTTTTATATTGTGAAGGTCTTCAAGCATTTGATATGTATGTCCCAAGTTTTTCTTTACATAAGATTTAGTCGCTTGAAGAAATATGCCTTTCTTCAGTGTAGGACTTTTCATCAATATGTCTATTTCTCTTCTCATTTGTCGGTCATTCACATTATCAGACAAATCTATTGGCGATGCTTCCATCCTTGTTTTAAAGACATGTATTTGTTTTTTTGCTACTGAATTGATTTCTTTATCTTCAAGTAGTCTTGATTGTATGTTATATATCTATACTCCTTTTCTCTCAAGTCTTTACATTTTGAACCTGAACCTACACATAGAAACTCTGACCACCTCAACAATTATCCCCTTCATTCAATCCAAACATTATCACAACAACCTCAACAACACATTTAGCAAGATAATCAAAAAGAAACAGTCAAACATTTAGATTTACAACATTGAACAAAAACATAACAGCCTCCCACCTGACCTCCAACCTGTCTTGTCCTAGCATCCCTGTTTTACCATTTTTTTCCCTGGCATCACCCAACCGAAGACTAAAAGCAACTCCAAGATGAGTCCAGATCCAGCAGAATCGGACCATCCTCATCCTAGCCTTGTCCGCGCTGGACTTCTGGATGACCTGCACCAGGAATTTTGGAAATGATTCCTGAATATCAGATACACCTCAAAAAACGACAACTTCTTCACAAAACTAGATTCATTCAATGAAAACTCATGGCTATTATCCATAAAATCCCCAAATTTCAGGCTGGAAAAACTCTGTTTTTTCCCTCGTTGCTGATGCTTTTTTTCAACTCACGTTTAACATATTTTCGGGATGGGAATTTTCCCAGCCTTGCACACGCGGATACTGGTGTCGTTGGAGCGATGAGCCACTTCGTAGACCGCCTTTTTGCGATATGATTTTTGGTGTTTAAAAAATGCGGGACCTGACACAAAAGTGGTAAATGTGGTACCCTCTGGTTATTTAACACAGCCATGGAAAATCCCTTATAAATGGAGGTTTCAATGGGAAAATCATCTACAAAAAAGTGGTACCCTCTGGTAAACTAACATAGCTATGGAAAATCACCATTTTTAATAGGAAAACTCACTATTTCTATGGCCATTTTCAATAGCTATGTTAGTTTACCAGAGGGTAAATGTGGTAAATCATCCGTGATAATCATGAGAATCATAATCATCAGCATCATCATCATCACCTATATGTCATATCAATAAGTAAATCATCATAAAAAGAATACATAATAATGGTAATACCAATAATGTTCATAATCATAGTACGGTTCTAATGTTTAAACTATCTACAAGAAGGTGCATCCCTCTTTACATGGTGGTCAATGAATTCGATCCACGCCCATGCTAGGGTTTGATCATCATTTCCATTGCCAATTTCAGACATGTGCAATTTTTTGCCGCGTCTTCAAAACATACAACCTCCACATCACCTTGATAATCTATCTAGGGCAAGTTATGGCGTGAAAAGTGTCTGGATATTTGCGGTCTCCCAAAATGATCCTTTTTACCAGGATAAATCTGAGTGAAAATCGCCATGTTTTACCAGGATTTATGGGTGAAAAGTCTCAGGATGAATGAAACCATAGGATAGAAGGGTGAAATCTGGGTTCCCCTCACTCCAAAACTTCCTTCGCCCAGCTTCCGGCCCTTGCGGTAGACTTCCTGGAACCTACGGGGAGAGTTGACCGAAAGTCGGGGAATGGCTGGGGAAGATGTTATGGATGCCATGTCCCATTTAGTTCGATGATTTACCATCTTTTTGAACTCTGTGATTGCCCATAGATATATATGTTGATATTATAATATTATATATATATATATTATGTTAAACATTGTTAAACTACCAGATGGGACTTGAAATCCCTTCTTGGGGCTTTGTGAGGATATATCTGGTAATCGAGGTGGTTCCCCCCAAGAAAGTGTGGCACCTGAAAAGAGATCCTGGCACAACCCCCTGGTAATCTCAGACATCTGATTGGAAATTCTTCTTTAAGAAACTCAAGTCTCAAATTTCTCCAACTTTTCCAAACGAAAATATGGCAGTGTGTCAAAACCCTGTACCCCTGTAGTTCACATCAAAATAGCTGGGATTTATGGATGTTCATCCCCCTAAAAATGGTATTTTCATAGCTATTGATCCATAGCCATATGAGAATGTCGCAGCCATGATCCCAGCTCCAGTCACCTCTGGGAGTTCTTCTTCAGGAACTCTTCTCGCCATCTCTTGTCACGCTCCTCGCCAGCCTCGGCGGGATGCATCCCCTTGGGATGGTGGAGATGAACTCTTCGCGCCAGGTCTTTAAGGGCCTCAAAAATTGCCGATATGGGCAGATAAAAAAAGACCTCAACCGTTGTGCAATTTCTGGGATAACTATAAGATTTTTCAGGTTTATGAAGAAAATGGCGGGATAATTATGACAAACCCATGCAGGAAATCATTTTGAGCTAGCTAATGGTGAGGGGGTTTGTGTTTTTGACCATGGTCAGGGCAGTTCTTTCGAAGCACCTCCGGTGTCAAACAATCTCCAAATATCGAGATATATAAAACTTCTTCAACCAAAATAGACTGCAGTTTGACATGTGATGATCTACCAAACTGTCATGTCAGATGGGGCACCTTCCTTACTTTGAAAAAAACATGTCACCAAAAGATTGGTATGACATGTTTTTCAGTGCCCCAAAAGCCCTATGGTTTCTCTTGACTTTCCCCATGAAGATTGCTACAGAGCGCTTCATCCGCGAACCACACGCACCCTGCCTTGGGGCTGCCGTGGGAACTGACCTCCACCTGCACGGGATTTGGCGGCAAAACCTGGTAGTTGTTCCCCGAAAAAATGAGGGTAAACGGGATCGTTTAAAAGTTTAAACCTCATATAACTGTCACAATTGGCAATTTATATATCACGAACATATTCTGATCATCCAAGTCTGAGATGGTTTGATCCAGGATGTTGAGGATGCATGTTTCAATGCTGTCCAACTGTCCTAAGTATATTTGGGGTTAATCTACACCATTTATACGTAAGACCCCATAATGTGATATCATGTGTGTGTCTGTGTGGGTAGATATATAGATATGTGTGTACACACACATATATATATATATATATATTGTGTGTGTGTGTGGTTAACGGTAAACCGGTAAACCCGAATGCTATCAATCTCTGATTTTGTTGGGTTTTTTGGTGTATACCAAGCATCAGTGACTGGACATGAAGAAATGGCATGGCATGGGGTCGATTCCACCTCGCCACTGGCCAACATGAAGGTCAGCATTCGAAAGAGCAAAGCCTCGGTGAGGGCCAATGGGATTTCATGGCGATTTCCGACCACTTCATCCATCGGAAAAGTCCAACAATCACTGGATTGGTTTAGGGAAAATTTACAGGAAACCATGGTTTTTACCATCAAATATAGGGTTTTCCTGTAAATTTTCCCATCATCCAATTCTATGAAACAACCAATGAAGGATGAGAAAAATATTCCAATGGTCTGTTTTCAAACCGAGTCGGAGAAGTCTCACAACCTACTCACGGAGCCCTTTGATGGTTTGCGAGGCGCTCAAATTTTCCATGACCAACACCTGTGCAAAATATTCACTGATTGATGATGGCCCTCCTTCGGACTCCGAAGGGACTCTTCAAGCATCACTGTGGCTTTATCCTTGGGATATTCGCTGTTGCCCATCCTGCTTGTTGACATATTCTTCCACTTTCAGTTGGCCAGGTGGCTTCTAATTCACACGCTGCACAGGTTTCCACATGTACAAACATTATGTGTAGAGTATAGATATAGACTATATAGATATCCTCTTTAAAGGGGGTGAGAACCCCAAAAAGATCTGGGGAGTTTTCTCGGTCCCAAAAAGATTCCTTAAGGCCTCCCGAAATCCAGGTGCCTCGTATTCTTCGGGGCCCAAGCCTCAGTGAAAACTGGAGCAGTTGCTGGGGGTGCATCCGAATCAATACATATACATATATGGTATGTATATATATATATATATATTGTGAACAAATTGATCCTTGTTCTGGATATCCTTCGGTTGTAGTTCCCTATGTGCTGATAGTCAGAGCTGTCAAACCATGCAGCAGCGGAGCGCGTTATTTTGGCCTCGCAGTGGGTCTTGAGCCATAGTGGCGTCCCATGCAAGAATGTGCACATGCTCAGCATGTGTGACTACTGTGTTATCTCGTTCCCCTTCGCACCCCCCATGCCTATGGCATCTTCGAACCATAGGCACGAGAGTGGGAACTTTGAATTAGATTCTTCTGCTACTCGAATTACGCCTATGTACATAAAACATGCCATTTGGCTCCCCCTTCCCCACATACCCGTCGGGAATAATGGTTCAGGGTTCGCCTACTCTTTGGCTGTCGATGCATCGGCGCTTCCTCAAGCTGTACAACGCGAATTATTGCTAGCTAACATCTACTTTTCTACGTTGGCTAAGCATGCCACTCACCCGTCGGGAGAAATGGATCGCCTCGCTACCAAAGATTTACAATGCTAACTAACGAATTCACGTGCACAATGCAGAATCTCGTGCAGATTGGGAATATCAAAAGTCTTGAACCTAAGCGAATTAGTCTAATGCCTCGCTCAGTGTCCACTCAGTTGGTCTTTTCCTGATCATCTGTTCATAAAGACGGTAAACATCTTGTAGCCCAGTGATCATTTTGACGGATCGAAGCAATTGGTTTACTGCTCACGGCGGACTTTCTTCCATTGAGGTGCTGTTGGAGTTCTCTCCCATCCTGCCGCACGTTTCGGAGCAGCTTTCGGCGATGAAGGCTTTGCAGGCGGTGCCTTTGATGGTTCATGGGATTTCGGCATAGCCTTGCCCTTTGGTGCGCTAGCCGATGAGGATGATGCTGAACCAGTGCCTTCAGGTGTTTGTGAAGGTTGTGCGGGTGGTTTAGCAAACTTGGAAGCTGCAGTATGTCCAACCGCTTTGAATACTTCACTCACCACTTCGTCGCCAAGGGTTGGAGCCATCTTCGTTTTCATCTCGGTCTTTCCCCTCTGCGCCTCGGCCTCGGCCAGCTGAATAGCATAAGCCATCTTGCTGACAAAGTTTTGAGGTAAAGGAATGCCACATTGTTGGGCGGCAAAGAGCAGTTCTACTCTCTGTTCTTTCTCCCTCAGGCTCAGATATACCGAGAAAGCTGGGAGTTCGATGCAGTTGGGGAAGCCGTGGCTCCCGGAGCGAAAGAAGGTGTATGACTCGTGCTCCGGAAAGGTTCCTTTGAGCAGTCGTCGAAGGAAATTGCTGATGGTTACTCGCATCTCCTGTTTCCCTTGGGCATCAGCCTGCATTCGGTTCATTGGCATGAGAAAGCCTAATGACTCAGGAGTGTACCCGGCGCGTACCAGAAATTCCATCATCTTCTCATAGATCTCTAAAGTCTTGATGACAGGCATCATCATGTTTCTTGGTCGCCCTGAGTATAACTTCTCTCCTTCTGACCATGAATTCCTCTTCCCTTTCTCCTGAAAGAGTTCATCCAACTCCAGCTCCGTCGGGCGCTTGAGGTTGCCATCCTGGTCTTCTCCTGTATAAGGACAGAAGTCGTCCAGGTCCAGCCGGACTCGCTTGGTTTCCGTCATCATCTCATAGTACTTTTCTGGGGTCAGAGTGACTCTCTGTTTGTAGTAGAGCCTGAACATTGTGATGATCTTTGACATGACGGCATTGTCATACAAGTGAGCCGCGGCCTCGGAGACATCATTGTTGATAAGTCCGTCTTCTGGCATACCCTTGCTGCCGCTCTCGAGGTTCTTGGTCCATGCTGGAAGTTTGGAAGAGGGTTCATCTTCAGGTTCGACTTCCATTTCATCGTCGTCTTCTTCAACGATTTCGTCGTCTTCCTGTTGGGCTTCCTCCTCCTGATCCATTTCCTCATCATCGCCTTCGTTGTAGTCGACCTCGTCAGGATTGAAGCCATAGTCGTTGGATTCGGATACGTTTTCTTGTGCTTGATGGACCGTATCCTTGAACAACGATTCTTCTTGTCGACGAACTTCTTCATCGATCTCTTTCTTCGTGGCCTCATCTTCATCGTCTTCAGGAGCTTGTAGCCGATAGGGACGGATTCCACAACTTTCAAGTTCCGTCCAGCAAACTAGACACACTGCTAGTTTTGTCGGCGTCTCATTGAGACAGTGAGGACAATGGCGGCAACCTGATGTTTGCACCCTTTTGCGTTCGACTATGTAGTCAATCAGCTTGATGCGGGCCAGGTATTGCTCTTGTCCGCCAGGCTCGATGAGGTTGTTCTTGAATTGGTTGACGATGTTCATGGCATCCATGGCGGTTTCGTCAAACGGTTGATCTTCGGCGTCGATGCACTGACTTGCAACCCTCAAGATGGACTCCTTGGTGGCTACCGTTCTTGATTTGATAGTTCCAGACCGGACTACCTGGTCGTCGCCCGACGGGACGAACAACCGGAGCCATGTCTTATTGTTTTGGTCCTTTGGGTCCTGAATCCATCCTCCTTTGATTGCCGAGAACGGGATGATCTTTGGTGAGACGATCTGTCCCGAGTCAGTCAGTCGACCGCCATATTCCACCATCAAGGTCTCGGTCGGGACGAACAAGCAAATGTAGTCCCCTCTTCGCGTATCAACGCTCTTCGTGATGGTCCATGATCTGTGATCCCATGGCACATACGGGTTGAAGAACGTGAACATCCGATGACCTTCTCCAAGACCTCCTGGAATTAATCCCTGCCTCCAAATGCTTCGAAGGTTGGTCTTCTTGGTGATGTGGAAACAAACCGGTAACGACAAAATGGTGTTGGGCGCGATTGGATGTGAAAGTAATGAGGACAGCAATGAGACGTCGTCCCTTGAAGATCCTTCTTTGTGCCCCGTAGGAGCACGGACCGCCACAGGGTAGAGCAGTAGACCTTCATCAGGAATGTTCGTGTCCGCATCGACTTTGTTGTCAATGCACGTCAGGCTGGTGCGCTCAATGTCCTTGTTGATACCAAATGCCAAGACTTGTTCACGAACGCGACGTCCATACCGGGCACAGTGGAACATGATCTTGAAGAGCAGTGTCATGCGGTAGTTTGCCTCATCGACATTCCATGCATTCTGATCATTTGCTCTTCCTTTTGGAGCAAGGAATACATGTGGCCAGCGTGCGTACTCGTGCCTCCAGATGGACTCACATTTGAGCACCTCCTCGATGGGCACCCAGCCGGCGTCATCACATGACAGACTCTGTTGTTCTGATACCTTCCCCACGTTGTGCCGCAGGATCCTGTTTAGTGATGAACTCACCTTGTCCTCGTAGGTATTGAGCCGGTTGCCAGTCTCGAAGCGGTAGTTGGCCGCATATTCTACACCTCCAAAGTAAGAGCAGTTGAAGAAATGGGCCCCCGTAGTCGGGATGATTTTCAAGAAACCATCTTGCGGCGCCTCGACTCTCTTGTAGAAGGGCTTCCTGATGTTGTTATCAGAGTAGCTTGCCATGAAGTCTGGCACTGACCAAGAGTCACCTCCTCCTCTGACAATAGCGTCTCTGACCACTTCGTTGAGGTCAACAATGTTCTGTGGTCCTAGCTTTGTAACATCACGTCCTTCTATGCAGAATCTACCATACTCATCGAGGTCACCAACTTCAGACATAGTTCTGATGCTGTCGTACCATTGGTGTTCACTAAACCTCGATTTTGTAGGTTCATCCGTTTGCCCCGACCCATCAGTAGCACCTGAACCGTCCTTCTTGTGCTCAGGAGGCTCCATATCGACGTCATCAGATGTTGGACTATCAGCCTCGAGCGACGCTCGGACGGCCTTTAGCACCTTTCTGACTTCATCCCTCTTCTCATGTTCACATTCAAGATGGCCATGTTGGGTGCTACCACAATACAAGCACACGTTGACATCCTCAGAGACGGTAAAGAGTTTTCCCAACGCATCCAAAAGTTGTTGTTTCCCGGAATTCTCTGAGTCCCTGACCACATCGGTGGGGTCGTTCGCTGGCTCATCAGCTTCCTCCTCCCCAGGGTGAGCCGACGACTCGTCACCTGGCTTGGCGTCGGCATCAGTGCCCATGCTGGCGTCACCCCCTGTGATGTTGTTCTTCCTGCGATAATGAGAGAATACCTGATCCTTCTCCCAGTCCGTGATGCAGCAGAAATTGGCCAGCGAGTCATATCCGGGGATTGCGTGGATGAGCTTCATGACCCTTTCGGCTTCTGCAGTTTGCAGTGTGCAGTCGAAGGATCCCCGTCTCTTGTCATTGATGGTGCTCGAGGTTCGGGAGGTCAATGTGAATTGAGCCAGTGCCTTTTCCAGTCCATTGAGATACTCAGCTGGATCAACGCTAGCATTGAAAACATCCACGACTCCCTTGGCCATATTGGCCACGTCCAAGACACCAAGCCAGAACTCGATGATATCTCCAGTTTTCTCGGCAGATGCACGGGAGAATCCAAAAATCTCGTTCCTCTCCTTCACCTCGGGAACGGCAACCTTTTCGAAGAAATCTTTGTATGCGACATTTCCGCAATCCTTTGTGACTCTATAGATCAAGAGCCACTTCTTTGCAACATCATCGAAAACTCTTTCGCGATATATGCTGAATTGCTTGCCGCGTCCGTTCCGGAAAATTTCCAGAGCTTGCCTCTTCGAAATTCTGACTCCTCCCATGTGAGATAGAGATTTCATCAAGT